GTTCATGACAGACCACCACCTGGCCAAATGGGTTGACACTACAACCTTGGTGGCTTTCGCCATTTTTTGCCACCTCAAACTGAAGCTGTCACATAACACCATCAAGTTATAAGATATTGTGTTGTCAGCGCTTAGTGAATAATCCCCTTAGATATAATCAGGGGTAAATGTCTTAACAAATGTATCTATAATAATTAGAAACAACAATAGCATACAGTGTTAAGAATATCAATATAACTGATAGTAACAATCAGATTGTTACTATCAGTTATATTGATATTCTTAACACTGTATGCTATTGTTGTTTCTAATTATTATAGATACATTTGTTAAGACATTTACCCCTGATTATATCTAAGGGGATTATTCACTAAGCGCTGACAACACAATATCTTACAATTTATTCATTGAATTTAGGAAGTTCATTTTTGTTTAGCAGCTATTATCTAGAGGTACTTTGTACCATTCTCTTATAAGTATTATTGTATATCTTTTTTTGTGCGCTCTCTTTCACCCTTTTATACCATCAAGTTATAGCTCACTGGCATCCAACACCACATGTTTTCAACTTTTCCAAAAAACCCAGGCTTCATCACATCCTACCCCATCAAAACCATTCTTAAAGGGATATCCAAGCAAACAGTCCTATTCCACAACGTAGGTTGCCTATTGACATACATCTGTTCAAGCGTATATCAGGCTTACTGGATATGGCACCTATTGAACCACATTCAAACTCCGTTATGAAAATAGCCATATACTTGGCTTTCTACGTCTTTCTCAGACCACAAGAGTTCACTATCAAGGGGCAACACGAATGAAAATTACCTTCGCACCTCATACCTTAACAAGCAACAAGACGTTCGGAGCTTATCCACAACTAAAACTATGGGTCAGATGGGTCAAACCGTGCTTATCCATTACTACCCCACCGACAATTCATGGTACCCAGGAAAGTGTTTGATGCATACCTACTTTCAGTACCCACTCACACCTCACTCCCTCTCCTGTCACCTCACGGGGCTACCCTCACCACTTCTAAATTCATGGTATATATATACGACTATTATTGACACGACTCGGCTTGAACGCCAATGAATATTCGGGGCACTTGTTCAGGATAGGGGCAGCATCCACTACCTCAAGCCAAGACATTCCGGTACAGGTGATCAAAACTTTAGGCCGCTGGAAGTAGATAGCCTATGCTGTCTTTGTACCTCAACCAAAACAGGAAATAAGAAAGCATTTGTTAATATATCCTCATAGATATGTTGATATGATGTCATATGGTTTCGTAATAATATATTTTGAGCTAGATTGGTATTCCTTTTGCCCACTTATTTACGTCGGTATCGGCACACCTCAACCGACTTTGCTTATTAAAGGTAGATGACTTAATCTCTATTTCATTTCAATTACTGAAATGGCCCCGAACACAAATATATTTTTATACATGTATGTTTTTCATGTGGAAATAATAATGATTAAGTAGAAATATATGTACATAAAGTGACAGGGCTGATAAAGAAAAAAAAGTATGAAGTGACCAAAAAAATACCACAAGTGACCAAAATTTTATAGCGACAGTGCTCTTATAAAACAGAAGTGTATACAATTAAAATAAAAGAATAATTACAACACTGAAAGATGAACATTTGCAAAACAATTACTTTTAGAGCCCTATCAGGCTGTAATATAAGAGAATATCTCTGTGTAAAAAATATTTATTTTTTAAAAAAAGAGAGAAAGAGGCAACGAAAAGGATTAGCAAACATGTTCTTATAATGAAATTCCAATATAAAATGTCTTACGGCTATAAAGTGACTACTACTTCACACAGTGCACAAACAGTACTGGTGACAATGAAGTAAACATGCAATATTCCAATGTGCATTAAAATAGTAAAACCAAAAGAATATAAATCACATTAACCCCTTCAGGATGAAGTCAATAGTACACGTCCTGATCAAAACAAAATGTAAACAAAAACTGGAATTTGCATTATGTGTCTGTCCAACCATAATTCACCACTTTCATATTAAGTGCACCCACACTTATTATATATTATTTTGTTCAGGAGAGACAGGGCTTTAATTTCTCATGAACTATTCAAATATGAAACATAATTTATTATGAATACATTTAAAAAAAACTGTGAGAAATATAATATTTAAAAAAAAAACTTTTAGTTTCGCCTGACATTTTAGCTGTAAATGTCAATAAAATGCACATATTTGTATTCAGCAAAGTCTCATGAGTACAACAGTACCACCCATTTACAGGCTTTACGTTGTTTTGGAAAGTTACAGGGTCAAATATAGCAAAGTTACATTTTTCTTTTTTTCACATTGAAATTTGCCAGATTAGTATATTTACAGGTTTTACGGTGTTTTGGAAAGTTACAGGGTCAAATATACAGGGTCAAATATAGCACATTCCATTTTTCTTTTTTTTTTCACATTGATATTTGCCAGATTAGTAAATTTACATTTGAGACCGTGTGGTAGCCCAGGAATGAGAATTATCCCCATGATGGCATATCATTTGCAAAAGTAGACAACCCAAGGTATTGCAGCTGGAGTATGTCCAGTTTTTTTTAGTAGCCACTTAGTCACAAACACTGGCCAAATTTAGCGTTCATATTTGCTTTTGTGTGAAAAAAGCAAAAAACAAATAATTGGCCAGTGTTTGTGACTAAGTGGCTACTAAAAATGACTGGACAATACCCCATTTGCAATACCTTGGATTATCTACTTTTGCAAATGGTATGCCATCATGGGGGTAATTCTCATTCCTGGGCTACCATACGGTCTTAAAGGCATCATTACCAAACTGGCAAATTTCAATGTGAAAAAAATGAAATGCAAGCCTTATATTTGACTCTCTAACTTTCCAAAACATCATAAAACCTGTACATGGGGGGTACTGTTATACTTGGGAGACTTCACTGAACACAAACATTAGTGTTTCAAAACAGTAAAACTTATCACAACAATAATATTGTCAGTAAAAGTGCTGTTCGTGTGAAAAATGCAAAACTTAATTTGACTGAAAATATCATTGTAATACAATGTATCATTTTGAAACAATTTATTTGTGTTCAGCAAAGTCTCCCGAGTAAAACAGTACCCTCCATGTACAGGTTTTATGGTGTCTTGGAAAGTTACAGGGTTAAATATAGTGCTTGCGAATTAAATTCGCTGCACTTTCTGCCTGGGTTGTCAGGCACGTCAATCAAATTTTAATTAATAAAATCACATAATTATGTTAAAGGATTACTTAAATATACATGTAGAATTTTAATATATATACATATGTATTTAAATTGTACATGGATACTTATCTAATCATTTATGTAATTATCTATATTTATTTATAAATTAGCGGTTATTTGTATATTATATATAGATAGATATATATAGAATGTCATTCTAAGTGTATTTTGTTACCTATATATATTAATAACAAAATACAGTTAGAATTAAATTACACATGTATATATAATTTGTTTTCATTTTTCTTTAAATATTTTATTTATAATTGTAATTATACACATATATATTATATATATATCTTACATGTAACTTCATTCTAGTGTATTTCAATACTAATATATGTACTTATATTAATATTAAAATACATTACGTGTGACATTACATATATATAAGATGTGTGTGTATATATATATATAATATATATATATATATATTATATATATATATATATATATATATATATATATATACACTTTTAATTTATTTTACATGTTTAATAATATTTTTTTTACACTACCCACCAGCAGAGGGACTGTCTGACAGCCCAGACAGTCTCCCTGCTGGCAGATCCACAGCCAGCTATTGTGACCATGTGATCGCACTTTGAGAGCGATCACATGGCCCCCGGGGGCCTGATTTGCCAGGGTAGGGCTGCCTGGGCTGTCAGGCAGTCCTCCCGAAGAGGATCGTGGCGGAGGTAAGTACCGCAGAGCTCCTGGGTGCTTAAGTCGTTATGGCATTCTATGCCGTCGCAACGGCTTTAAAGCCCATTATAATGGTGATGGCATAGAACGCCATAACGGCGTTAAGGGGTTAAGGTCACAATAAGCATAAGAGTTAAATAAATAATGAAAGGTCGTATTCATAATTTATACCGCTTGGAGCTAGGGCTTCTAAATTCCTGATCCAAAGTTCTCACGTAATTTGAGTTTCTTGACTCTATCTCCATATCTCTAAGCCTCAAGTATTTGTTCAATGATCAGACATTTAAACTAAGATTCATGAATTCATGAAAATGTGATGGAATTGATAAATGCAAAAGCGCTGTTCTAATAGTTGATTTGTGCTTGGAGAATCTCTCCTGCATTTTTTGGGTAGTCTCGCCAAAATAAATCAGACCACAAGGGCATTTTAAAATATACACCACAAAATCAGAATTGCATGTGGCATGAGAAATCAAAAAAATTCAGCTATTTCCAGATAAAAAAAAGTCTGAAGCAAAAATATGATCTAGGAGTGTGGTATAGCACGATGGCAAAAGGCAAAATAGTTTAACTTAGTGCAGCTATTGTGTATAAGCTACTGTAGCCCAAACTGCAAACAAAATATAGCAAGCCAAAGTATTCATCCACAAAGTGCAGCTTAGTTATATGGGCCCACTAGAGCAGCCCATATCTATTCAAAGAGCATTCAAATTAAAATATGTTCCAGTGTTTGCAAATGATATTCATACTCTTAGGAGAATAGAGTATTATATTTGAAAACTAAAATCAGTCTTCAGGTTTGCTGAACCACTATTTTTGGTAGTGGTTCTCTCTATTAGAAGATGTCTGTTGATTTTGGTTTTCTTTCTTTTGCATTTTCTTCTTTTTACTGCTGCTGGCTCTGCCCCTGATCTGCCTGCTTGGCTGACATCAGGTGTGTTGCTCAAAGCCAATCACAATGCTTTCCCACAGGAAAGCATTAGATTGGCTGAGACTGTCAAGGAGACAGATATGGGGCAGAGCCAGAACAAGCCAAACACATGACTGACATCATCAAAAGTGTTGCTCAAAGCAGAACGTGATGAAGTGACGCACGGGCTCGTGCACGTCTGAAGGAGGAGACTTACCGCAACTGAAGGCAGGAGAGCATTCATGACGCGCTAAAACACCCGATTGAATGGCCGTCTCCCAATATTGAGCTGTGAGCTATACACTTGGAGCAGTTGGAGGTGACCAGAGAGACCGGAGTGATCGACTTCTGGGAGAAGGCAGCTTAGATTTAGATAAGGGAGAAACACCTATCCGTGTGTTGCCGGCGTCTGGGGTCGAACAGGATTGCAGCGGGTGAACAGTGAGTGTACAGCATCTGCACTGTCATATTCCTAACAGCAGGAAAGTACAGAGATCTAAGAAATTTGACATAGCAACTAGACTTGGAAGAGGTTACAGCACAAATAGATGAGTACAAAACAAAATCTTAAACTTACTATATAAAAAAAAAACTTACTATATTTTTCTATAATTGGAGGAAAGGAAGTGTGGAAAAAGAAAAGGAATTTAAAAAGGGGTAAACTCAAATTCTCCTCAGTTATACATGCTTCCTTTTTTTTTTCTCCCTTTGGTCTTTTTTTTTTTTTTTTTGTATCTCTAAAGAGTCCTCTTATATGTCGAACTGGCTGTATTTATAACTTCCTCTCTGGCTCATTGAACAGCACATTTTTTTAGTGTTGTGTTTCTCTCTTAAAGGGATATAGTAAGGAAGGAGAAAGAAGGAAAAAGAAAAGACACCTATATACTAAAAATGATGACAAAAAGGAATAAAAGAGAGAATAAATTAGATAAGAGCTTACCCGAATTTTTCTCTCCAGTAGCTCCAAAAGAGAAATCTACGATTAATTGCAAATACTGAATAGGCTGGACAGAAATTACTAGAGGCCTCCAAAGACCCTGAAGACCCATATGTATCTCAAGCTTTTCTAAAAGAGTGTATACAATCTATGGTGAAAACACTGAAAGATTAAATCAAATCAAGTGCTACAGGTATCAAAAAAAAGATCGGAAATCTAAGTACACACCTTAATTAATTGGAACACAAATTAGTCGAGACATAGAATTAAAAATGGGAGATTTAGAAGATCGCGCTAGAAGACAGAACCTCAGATTTAGAAATATAGCGGAAGAAGTAACGGATAAAGAACTCAAAAAATTCCTGGAAGAATTATTTCTAAAGTTGGGAGTTAACATTAAAATATACCCATTTCTAATGAATCGATGGCACAGATTACCCAAACTAAGGGGAAGTCCAGAAAGCACTCCAAGGGATGTAATAGTTAACTTTTTTCTTATTTCAAATAAAGGAACTTGTCTACAAAGCAATTAGAACCCCAAATAATTTAGAAGCATCTATAATTTAGAAGTATACAAGTATTCCAGGATTACTCATATATAACAAAATTACGCAGAATAAATTTCTCAACAGAAATTACCTTTTTAAAATCTCATAATATCAAATTTCGATGGAGCTCTCCGGCAACCCTAAGAGCATACTGGGACAATAGATGGAGTTCTTTCAGGACACCTCAAGAAGTTAGACAGTGGATTGAACAAAGTAACTTGAATCTATAAAGATCTCCATAATGGAATAAGAAGGATAGGACAGGAGTATGAAGATGGAAAATAAGAAGTTTAAAGGACTTTTTTTTTTCTTCTCTTCATATAGATTGCATTACTTTTGAATAAAAATTTTTGCTAGCACTATTATGGTTAAAACCATAAATAAATATACACTTAAACAAATTTGTATGAAAAGGAAATGATAGAATAAAAGGATATGAGGTGATATAATAAAGTATTAAGTCACAAACACTATCGCAACAAACGATATTTATTAATATGACTAGTATACATACGGAAACTAGAGTTAAATTAAAAGGGGGTTAAAGGGATATGACACTTTAGAAGTAAGGCCAGATATATAATTAGATAGAAATATAAAGATCTTATTCTTCACAAATACATGGGGATATTATTATCACTAGCACTTTTTGCACTATTAAAGATCATTATCCTATCACTAAGGAAATGTAGGGGAGTACGCATGCGCGAAGAATCCTGACAATGAGAGTGACATGACAATTCACGTCCCCACGTCGGACTTCACCGCAGCGATTACGGACCACCCCCATATAGTAACAGACACAAGAGCGTCTTAGAGAGAGGTGGGAAGCACAAGGTAAAAGACGAAAACGGAAGTAGATGGAGTAACTGATAACATCACTTCCGCCAACCACTAATCACATGGCGGTCATTTCCGCCAACCTCTAAACGACCTATGAAAATCTAAATAGAAAACATGTCCCCTTATCCACCACTTAAAAGAAGGGTAACACAGGTGATTTTTTATATATATATATATATATATATATATATAGGACTTACAATTAAAGACACAGAACATTTGGATAATTGGAAAATTGAATCACCAATACGAACTCAAAGGAGGACCCAAAAGACATTTAAAAGGCAGAAGGTACAGAGGATCTATTCACAGCTGACTGAGGAAGCTCCAGGAGCAGTGAAACTTGTATCGGCAATCAGGACTTTTATTCTTGATTTTAAATATATTATACCTTATTTTATTTTACTCATTTGTATTAATAAATAGATTTTATTTTATATAAAGTCCACAGAATCCTCAAGTACCTTCATTTGGGGAAAGTGCCCCCTTAGAGTGGCACAAAGCCTACCACCCTCAGAGCCAAGACTTTAAGGAGGAATATGGTTAAATTGATATCTGTAAATGTGCAGGGTCTTAAAGGGACACTCCAGTGCCGGGAAAACAAATCGTTTTCCTGGCACTGCAGGTCCCCTCTCCCTCCCACCCCCCATCCCATGTTGCTGAAGGGGTGAAAACCCCTTCAGTGACTTACCTGAGACCACCGCCGATGTCCCGACAGCCGGCTGGAGAGACCGATTGCGCGGCCGCGGGTGGGATGAGACCTAATGCGCATGTGCGCCAATGCCGCGCACGCACATTAGACCTCCCCATAGGAAAGCATTGAAAATTCTTTCAATGCTTTCCTATGGGGATTTTAGTGACGCTGGAGGTCCTCACATAGCATGAGGACGTCCAGCAACTCTATAGACAGCCACTAGAGAAGGAGTTAACCCTTCAATGTAACTATTGCAGTTTATGAAAACTGTAATATTTACAGTTACAGGGTTAAGGGTAGTGGGAGTTGGCACCCAGACCACTCCAATGGGCAGAACTGGTCTGGGTGCCTGGAGTGTCCCTTTAACTCACCCATTAAAATAATAACGGTGCTGAGCCACATGAGAAAAGCACACGCAGACTTATGCTTTCTCCAGGAGACTCACTGGTGAGCGAGGGATAAACGACAACAGAATCCAAATGGATTTGCTTTGGTAGTCCATGCCTCAAGAACAGACAATAAAAAGAAAGGTGGAGTAGCCATATTGTTTTCTAATACTATCCAGGTAGAGATTTTATATCAATTCTTGGATAAAGATGGACAATATATGATATTGGTAACTAAAATTAACAATATTAAGTATACTTGGGTAAACTTATACCTCCCGAATGTCACTCCTATTACTGTATTAAAGAAAATTTTTCGAAAAAGTAGATTAGGTAAAGAAGGGCATTCTCGTTATAGCAGGGGATTATAATTCAATCTTAGATCCAACTCAGGATAAAAAAAATCACAGTAGGAGCTTTTTATTAGCAGACATATTTAAAAACAAGCAAAATTTCTAATAAATATCCTTAACCTAAATAATCGCTTTGATATCTGGAGGGTGTTCCATCCCAAAGATAGGGAATTTACTCATCTCTCCAGGGTCCATCACTCTCTATCCAGAATAGACATGATATGGGGTAACCATATGTTAATAGAAAAGGTCAGAAGGATAGAAATTATCAATAATGCGTGGTCTGACCACAGTATTTTGGAAATGGAACTGACAGATTATCCCTCTTTTAATAGAACAACTTGGAGATTGAGGTACTCTTTATTAGAAGATGAAGAAAACTGTAAATATATAGAACATAAAATAGAAGATTTATTTGCGCTTTTAAGGCCATGATTTGTGGCCATTTTCTAAATTTGCAAAGCAGATCAAAGAAGCAAGCTGGACAATCACTATCAAATCTATATCAAGATCACTACCAACTGACTAGAGAGTATAAATTCAATTTATTACAGGACACTCTAGATAAACTTATTAAAAATAAGTTTTAGTTAGGGGAAAAAATTCCAGAAAGAATAAGAGCAAATCTTGAAAAAAATGAAAATAAACTATTATTACAGAGGAAATAAGGGAGATAAAAGGCTCACTAGAAAAATTAAAGAAAAAACAAACCGATAATAGAGTACATAAATTAATGATTAACTCAAGAACATATGTTAATCTTGAAGAAATTGGGTGATAATTTAATGATTATTATTTTAAACTTTATAATATAGAATCTAAACCCAGAATAGCATTGATAGAGAAGTATCTTTCTAAGACCTCTCTCCCTGCCCTTAAAAATGTTCAAATAGACCAACTAAATAGAATTATTACTAAGGACGAGATAGAAAGAGCTATAAATGATCTGAAAAAATACAAGTCTCCAGGTACCAATGGCTTTTCCCGGGATATAGATGACAAGAGTAAACATTATACCAATATTAAAGCAGGGTAAGAACCCAACAGAGGTCACTAATTATCGCCCAAGATCACTGATTAATGTTGAGATGGAGATCTATGCGACAGTGCTCTCTGCTAAATTGAAAACTATTATAGGAGAGTTGATCCATCCAGATCAAGTGGGTTTTGTTCCCGGGAAGAAATAAATCATCAAATTTTAGGAGAATTATTGATATCCTGGATTATGTAAATAAGAGGGGGATTCCACACCTGACTCTGTCATTGGACGCAGAAAAAGCCTTTGACAGAGTCGGGTGGGATATCCCCGCCGTGGTTCTGCAGAGGTTTAGTATAACAGGGAAATTCTATCAAGCAATAATGGCTTTATATGATAAGTCTACAGCTAGAATAATAGGTCCCAATATTTGTTCCTCTTGGTTTGGTCTTACTAACGGAACTAGACAGGGGTGTCCTCTTTCTCCTCTTCTTTTTATTTTGTCTATAGAGCCACTGGCAGCTAACATTCAAAACTGTAATAATATAGGGACTTAAGATTAACAAAACAGAGGCTAAAATCAGTCTCTATGCTAATGATATCTTAATTACTATAACATCACCAAAATAATCAGGGCATTCCCCACTGGACCTGAGAGTAGACTGAGACAAAATAAACAACATAATTTTATTACCTCTTAGGTCCAGGACATGTATAATAATGATAATCACCCCAAAACATACAGTTCCCCACAAGATACCCCCTTAAGTCCTATATCCCCGGATAGCCTGGGTTTGAGCGCCCAATATATCCAAAAAGTGCTCAGATCCCACAAACGCAGCCGAAACGACACCAGGGTATAGTTTAGACCAACTGCACACGAGATGCCTGCCCAAAAAGGTTCCATGATATTGGTCTCTTTGTGATCCGTGAGCAAAGAGAAGGGCTGTCTGCATAAATAGGGTTGCAACTTTTTCAGGGCCCACACCACGACCAGGCATTTCCTTTTCAATTGCGACATAGCTTACTTCTCAAGGTAACAGCTTGCGACTGATGTAAGCCACGGGATGTTCTACGCCATCTGGCCCGACTTGGCTCAGTATTGCCCCCAATCCAAACATATAAGCGTCTGTATGAATGAGAAAGCATTTAGTTGGATTGGGAGCTGCCAAGACAGGGGCATTTATAAGTGCATGTTTCAATTGTGGGAATGCCTGCTCACACTCCCGGGCCCAGACTACTTGACGGGGAAGGTTTTGACAGGTAAGGTCGGTAAAGGGTTTGACCAGGGCACTCTAATTGGGCATAAACTTCCTATAGTACCCTGCAGTCCCCAGAAAAGCTAGCACCTGAGTCTTCATCCTGGGGGTAGGCCACTGGGCCACTGTCTCAATCTTAGCAGACTCAGGCTTCTGCTGCCCGCATCCCACTCAGTGACTGAGGTACTGTACCTTGGCCATACCTATATTACACTTGGCAGGCTTAAGGGTCAAGCCCGCTTCCCTAATCCTATCTGAGACCACTCGTCCTATATGGACCAAGTGCTCCTGCCAAATATCATTGAGATATGCACAAGCATAGTCTTGGAACCCATCTAGGAACCGGTCCACCATCCTCTGGAAGGTAGCCGGAGCGTTTTTCATTCCAAACGGCATCACCTTTAATTGGTATAAGCTGAATGAGGTGACAAACGCTGACTAAGGGATGGCATCGTAAGCTAGGGGTATCTGCAAATACCCCTTACAAAGTCTAACAGCTCATCTATCCTAGGCATCGGATTGGCGTCTAGCACAGTCTTGTCGCTTAACCTTTGGTAATCCACACAAAACTGGGTCGTACCATCCTGTTTCGGTACGAGGACTACTGGGGAGGCCCAGGGACTGTCAGAAGGCTCAATAACCCCCAGTTGGAGAATCTCTTGGATCTCTTTGCGCCTATTTTCCCATACTGATTCTGGGATGGGGTTTGGTGCAATGAAAGTTGACCTGGTGTCTCTACCCGGTGAGTAGCCAAAGGAGTGTACCCAGGTACAGTGGAGAAAGTAGACTTCTTCTCCTCTAAGAGTTATTGTACCTCAATCCTCTCCTGTGGGTTTAACCGGTCTCCCAATTTGACCTTCTTCCAGCTAAACGGTTCCTCAATTATGGGGAGAGGGTGAAGTTTAGCCTTGCGGCGTTCTCCCCTCCTTCCCTACTCTCTGGCAAGTATCGCAAATTTGGGATTATTGTCGAATTCTTGAGAAATCCCAGGCCAAAATAAGTTTGGGTAAGCCGGCATCTGGTTCGGCTCAACCATAAATGCCCGGATAGCGGAATATCATGCGCTATCCGTAGCAGCTCCTGTCGGTACCTCTGGGGTACCAATACTGCCTAGTGGGGATCGGTTCCGACCTGACCACTATCCTCTCAGACTCCCTGTACAACAGCTTTTTATCCCACACATATCTTTCCCCCTCTAACCCTGCCTGGCCAGAGGTGACTCAGTCTCTGTATACTTGAAACATGGGGTCTGTGTTCATCTCTTTCTCAAACTCTGTGGGCGCAGCCCAGTATACACACTCTAGGGATGGGGAACAATCTCTTACTTGAGCCACTGGGTGTGAGCTGTGTTCCCTGGTGCGGGCCTGTTGCCTGGTGACTACCGGGTATCCACCCTGTTCCAAATTATTATTATTAT